CTTTATCCCCTGTGTTATTTGCTCTCTCTCTCTCTCTCTCTCTCTCTCTCTCTCTCTCTTTCTCTATGCTGCTGTCTTCCTATCCCTCCCTCTCCCACCCATCCTTTTGGGCGTTGCCTGGCCGACTATAAATTCTTGAATAAACTTTCAGTGAGCCCATGCCCTCTTCACCGATCATCTCAAACTAAAGTTTTGCCTCCCTTGTGTCCTGGTAAGTTCATTACAATTATTTTAACACTCTTTAACACTCACAACTCTGTTTCCGCTTCTGTCACGCACTGTTTTTTTTTAAGTTGCGCGAGTTTAGATTGGAGACGGATCTTTTATTATGAAGACTGAAGATTATTCGCCTCAGCTGCTGTATGTAGTTAGAGGCATGTGGGCTAGATGCATAAGCTGCCTTTTTTCTTTTTTCAGAGTTAAGGTTTTGTCTGTATTCAACATGTTTTCTTGACAGCAAGCGCTTTCTCTTCCTTGGGTGGGCTTGGATGTTGTTTGCGCATTACGCAGCAGGAATGTCCACCACCGACAAGTAGCGGCTCGTCCTCCGTTATGTTTCCCTTACATTCTTGTTTGTCTTTAGTGTCTGAAAATCAGTTTTTTTTTAAAGTCATCATAATACCGAATATGGTAAATAGAAGGGGGAAGCAGAGGGAGCATCGAGATAAGGAGTTTAGTTCATGTGCCAGAAAATAGTGTCTAATAGCCAAAGAATTTGCTTTGAGTGCCAGTAAACCAACACCCACTTCCTCATTTAACAATATGTTAGTTTTGGATGAAGTAGTCTCAGTGGTGGAGGTACTCAGATCTTGACCTTAAGTGATAGTAACAATAGGCTAACACAGTGCAGAAATACTGTGTTACAAGTAGTTATATATTTTTTTTATGAATTATTTCCTTTTATTTATTTATTTATTTATTTTAAGTAAAAATAAAAATATATACTTAAAGTACCAAAAGTAAGAAGCTCTATTTCAGAGCAATACACATATATATATATTATTACATTATAATAACTGATGCTTTAATATATATGACTGTATATTACAGTACATTCATGCCTAAAATATATGTATGTAAAAATATTATTCTGCACAATAAATCAACAGCTGTGTGATAAGTGAAGACTTCTATGTCCTTCTTTCAGCACCTGATTCTGCAACCATGACTGAGTTGGAGAAATGCATGGAGTCCATGATTAAAATTTTCCATCACTATGCCGTTGAAGACGGTGATGGGAAGACCTTAAGCAAGAAGGAGCTGAAAAAACTAGTTGAGACTGAGTTACCCACCTTCCTGAAAGTAAGAATTGTCTGTCTTCTATTAAATATAATCTCTATCCTGAGTGTATATGATATACCATCAAAAAATAAATGAATGAATGATTAAATAAATACATTTCCGAAAAAAATACACATATATAGAATAATACGTGTGTGTGTGTGTGTGTGTGTGTGTGTAACTTATTGCTTTTATTTTGTACCCTGAACATGACTCTCTCTAATGCTCTTTTAGGCTCAGAAGAACCCCAAAATTGTGGACTGCATTTTGAAAGATTTGGACCAAAACAAAGATGATAAGTTGGACTTTGAAGAGTTTATTCCCCTTGTTGCTGGTCTCTCAATGGCCTGTGAGAAGTGTTACTGCCTCTATCAAAAGAAGGGCAAGAAGTGAAAATGAACGAATGGAAGTAATGATGTTGATTTTTTTGAGAATTCTGTAGCACAGATGTGTGCCATATTGATAAGTAAAAGCCACCACTGACAAGAGTTCACCTTCTGTTTGTCTGTTTACTGTGCAAAATGTATTTTCTTGGGGAAGCTTTCCACTGGTTACATTTGGTTTTTTTATGCTTTGTGCCATCTCTTTCTTGTACAAGTGTTGGGAAGAGTTTTGCCTATGCTAGAAAAATACCTCAGAAAGTGCAGAGAATATTGATCTTCACATCTGAAACACATCATTTTACCCAAAAATACTCCTTGAATTGAGGCAGCAGTTTTTAAACAGTATCTAAATGATTCAATATGGGAATGTGCTGGTATCAGATGAGACCTGAACTTGGGTGGAGCACACATGTCTGCATGTCAAGAGTTCAGGAGTTAGAGATTCAGCTTATGCCAAATAAACATGCTTATAAGTGCATACAAGATTTGGTGTGGTTTAAAAAGTTTATGGTTTTTGGAAATAGTGTTTCTCTCATGGCCCTCTTCCAGCTTATAACAAATTACGCATGTGTTTTCAACTTATACTGCACATTCTTCTGTTATCTCACAAAAGTGGCATTGGCAGTCTGAACATCCCTGAAAGGAAGACACGCACCAAGTAACCAACATGGAATTACACAGATGTTAGCAGGGAAAAAGTAAAAGCAGGATAAAGTGCTGTCAAAATTAGGTGATGGACCAATTATCGACAAATAAGTATTTTTTACATTTTTGGGAGATATTGAAATACAGCAAGTAACCCTTGGTTTTTAATGTCAAATGAATGATTTTTTCAGAGCCCTTTTTAAGCCTCATTCCTAGCATAGTTGGCATTCGCTAGCAGAGACATCTTGCTTTAAAAAGAAGACACACAACCTAATATACATGAAAGAGGGAAAGAAACATGGACCAGTGTGTAGGATGTAGTGGAATCTAGCAGTGTAGTTACAGATTGCAACTCCTTCACTTGAAGAGAAACTAACTAACTAAAAAACACCTAATAATTCCTAATATTATATTCCATTTCTGCCAATAGAGCTTGCTACATGTTACACACTGGACCCTTTGCAGTAAGTAAATAAATATGAGCACACCACAGGTCAGCTGGTGAGGAAATTAAATTGCCAGTGACAACAGAGCATTGCCTTCTTGACAAATAAGAGGCAAACATCAATGGCAATCCCAGTTATAGGCTGCCAATTCACCTTCACTAAAAGAAAACAGTGTCAAATGTTACTCAAGTCAACATTATTTTTAAAATAGTTCTTTAACAAAAGCTTGCACGTAACACTTCAGGTGCCCTTTTTCTTGCATCAATGTATGGTGGAAATGCCTTTATTTATAGGAATCCACAAAATTCAGGTGCTATTCAGAATATGATGGAATATAATGCAGTGAAGCTGAAGGCATTTGATATTTTCAAGTATTTACTCTCCTGTGCATAAACTCTCATTTAATGTTATTTCCCTTGTAAATGACCTCAATACAGCATGGTTCGAGCAAGTTTATTATGATCAACTTTCATTATATTATATCCCTGCTGAGTCAACACACATGTACTGCATGATTTACTCCCCTGTCCTCTTTTGTGTCTTTTGTTTGGGGTAGGAACTTATTGTCATTAAAAACTTTAATAGTTCATATGTGATACAGCAAGATTTCTGCTCATATTCATAACCTTCTGCACAAATACGTCCCACATATCTGTGTTTGGAATGAGTTTTAGAAATCATGTACATTTCAACTTTGTTATTGAAGTTGACTAAAACCAAGAGCACAACACGTTTGTCGTAACTGATTAAAACTTTGATCAAATCTACTAGAGAACAAGATTGTGTTAAAGGCTCTTAATATTTAAAGAAAACAAAAAGCATTTAATATACTAGCAAACTAGCAAATAACACTTTTAAAAGAAAACTCGAAAAATATAACCTAGTAGCTCATTAGCTGCCATGACAACTTCCTCGGGGGTGACACTTTTTGAGAAGAAATTTCCAAATATCTGACCTCCTCCTCCTCCTTTTTCCTTCTGGCTCCCTAATGGTTATCAACCGTGCAAAGCTGCTGCTTCTTCTTTCCATTCTATGGCAGATTGCAGAATGCTTTGGAGGTTGCAAGCTGCCACCACCTACCTTACAGGAGGCATTGTCCAGTCTGTGAGTTGCATTCCAGCCATACATCAAAATAAAAGTCCTCTGCTTCATGCTTTGTATTGAGGGGAGGCAGATGCATGTGTTCTAAATAATGAGGGGGGCCATGTCCCCTGTACCCCCTCCCTCCCAAAAACTATGCCAATCGAACATGGAGGCAACACTGAAAATTGTTGATTTGGTCATGTAAGCAGGAGGACATGTACTGTCTTCAATTCACCACTAGATGTCATGAAACTCTTGAAAACCATTTAGACAGTCTAGCGGTTTACACAGGGCACACCCACTTGCATCTCTCCAGTTTCCATCACTGAGTGAGGAAAAACACTGTTATAAAAGTGAAAGCTGGTTTCAGTGAGGGTGTGTTAGGCCATGTTTTAAAATAGAAACACAAAATGTACAGTGTTGAACAGAATGGACATGTTACAGAATGTACACCGATCAGCCATAACATTAAAAACACTGATTATCTGGTTATCATGGCTCCTGTCAGTGGATGGGATATATTAGGCAGCAAGTGGACATTTTGTCCTCACAGTTGATGTGTTAGAAGCAGGAAAAATGGGCAGCGTGAGGATTTGAGCGACTTTGACAAGGGCCAAATTGTGATGGCTAGACGACTGGGTCAGAGCATCTCCGTAAAACTCAGCTGCTTGTGGGGTGTTCGCTGGTCGTGCGCAGGGGTCAGGCTACTTAATCAAAAGGTGGGTTCAAGTGAAGGAACGCAGAGGCAGTGAACCGGAGACAGGGGTCGATGGAATGGCCAAAGCTCGAGTTCGATACGTGGGAGGGGAGGTGAAAGGGACTGGGCCCGCTGTGGGTCCAATCCAACGCAGACGAGCTGACTGTAGCTCAAACTGCCTGAAACAGTTCATGCTTGGTTCTGGATAGAGAAAGGAGTCAGAACACACAGTGCATCACAGTGTGGCCTCTAGGTGGTCATAATGTTATTATTTGTTATATGCTTATCACAGACATTTTGACTTGTCATGTAAGTAAAAGCACCGATGTTACATTAATGATGGCTCTATCCTATTCTAGTATCCCAGCATAGTGTCACACAAACCATGTGTGATAGAGAGCCACTGAAGCACCTAAATTCAGCCGTCATTAAATTCTTTACACCTGTGTATTTCCTACTATGGCATTTCAAAATGTCCTCCATGAAAACTAAATTACCATTGGTTTACTGTAGCCTGTAAAGGGCCGAAATAAATTGGATTTTCAAAATAGTATCAAGTATTTAATTATGTTAAATGAAGACAGAGTACACAATAATGTACAATAACTGTTTTGCTTCTTACGCTACTATATCACTTAAGTATTAGAAAATGTGAGATGGTATCTTTACAGTGATTTTGCAAAGGCAGAATGTCTGCCTCTGTTCAACTTGTTGAGAAATTAGTATTGATTAACAACTCTATCAGTCTCCCACAAGTATATTCTGATTATCTAGAGCTATTGAACACTTATTGTTAGGAATTAATGAACTTTTAACTACTGATCAAGCTTCATCTCAACATATTAGCCAATGGGGATTAGGAACTCGGCCCAGAAGTAGAGACACTGACTGAAACAGAGAGCAAATCCTCCTGTGTCCTTCACTGGAGGTGTTTTACCCTCCAATAGTTTCATTACGAACACAAATGCAATGCATATTTTATACAAATGTGCATACATATCTCTTTAACAGGTACAACTTTATTCCAAGGATCCAGAGGGTTCTGGGCAGAACATGGAAAACATCCAGTATCAAGCCAATCACAATGAAGGGGGGGAGCATTCCATTCTTATAAAATATAGAACTTTAATTTATTAGTCAGCAACAACAATGGAAAGGGAAGATAGAGTAATTTACACAAGTCATTACAATAACATCACCTCTGTGCATTTAGTTTTTTTCTTTTTTTCCATAAAGTCTGATGATGCAAAAATACAAAACAAACAAAAACACTCAAAAACTACAGACACATTTTTAAAAATACCAACAAATTGTACAACCTTTCTTTGCATTTTTTGCTGTATAACCCCTGGTCTCATTTGGAGGAGAGAATCAGGAGCTGTGATTGATTCTGGGAATGCAAGACAGACATCCCAAATTGAGGAGCAGATACAGATACCCCCTGTATGAATTATGGATGCATCTTCCCAGAGGCATTCAAGGCGACTTTATACAGCCTGAATACAAGCTAGACAAGGTGTCAAACCCTTTGCAATGTCAGAATGATATGAAAATGAATTTGCACCAGATTTTTTTTTTCCTGGTCATAAATTCTTATACATGAAAACGCCATTAATTTAACTTCCTGGAGAACAGCTGCACTAATGTTTTTAATAGCATGGTGTACTGGAGGGTAAGCATAAAAATTCTAATCAATAGAACCATCACTCATCTTTTAATAACGGCCCTCTCATCAAATTCAAACTGTCCTTGTCTACATAATTAATATGCCATTGTATGATTTTTAAATGATACTTTCCCGTATTTTGTGCTATCCAAACACATACATGAGATAATTTCACTCAATACTCTGACAAAATCTATCTATATCTATGTCGATGAAAAGATGCGTCATGCTTTATACAGGGTGTATTTGAAATGAGGGCATCATTAAAGCATTTGTTTTCCACATTTTCCTGCACTGAGAATGTCCCTCAGAGACCTTACTGTACACCCCTAGAGATGAAAAACAGAAAAAAACAACCACACAGTATCTTATCAGAATTACAGTACAAATACAGGTTCATGCACACAATGAAAGCCAGCTTCCCAATATTTTGGTTAGTGTCACAACATTGTTACAATGCTCTGTTGTGTATATGGGCAATCTTTTTTTTTCCACATATGAATGTCGAAGGAAGAAAGAACAAAAGACGTCTTGTGTGCTCAGACCTAACAACTGCTGCCTGATCTGGGC